ATCTTACGGCTGGCATTCCCTTTCACAGTCCACAACCGTCGAAGCAAATAACAACGGATGTGTCCCTTACTGGCTGGGGAGCGCATATGGACAACATGACGGTTCAAGGTCGCTGGTCTACGCAGGAGATGCTCTTACACATCAACATTCTCGAGTTAAGAGCAGTGCGTCATGCATGTCACCATTTTCAGTCCCATATAAGGAATACGACCATCAGAATCCTTACGGACAATATTGCCACCATGTACTACGTGAACAGACAGGGAGGCCCTCGATCCCGATCCTTCTGTATAGAGGCGATGCGCTTGTGGAAATGGTGTATCCGTATCAATACCACCCTGACAGCCACCTACTTGCCAGGCGTCCAGAATACTGTCACAGACTCACTCAGCAGGCTGTTTCCCCACGACCACGAATGGGAACTTCGCACGGATATTCTGCATTATCTTTTCACCCAATGGGGGTTCCCCTCAATAGATCTGTTTGCTACGGTGGCCAACGCCAAGTGCTCCAGTTATTGCTCCAGGGCAGGGATCGGGCGTCATTTCTTAGGAGATGCTCTTCTTTGCAATTGGGGAACGTCATTGCTATACGCTTTCCCCCCGATTGTCTTAGTTCCCAAAATCCTGGAAAAGATCATTATGGAAAGGGCTCGAGTAATCCTCATAGCTCCAGCTTGGCCACGGCAGCCTTGGTATTCAATACTCCAGCAGATGTCCATCAGGACACTGTACACCCTTTCTCTGCTTCCAAACCTCTTGACTCAAGACAACGGCTCCCTTTGTCATCCGAAACCCGAGACCTTACTCCTCACAGCGTGGATGCTCGCTGGTTCAACCCGGTCGAATGCTCTTGCTCACAGAGAGTCAAACAAGTATTAGTACACAGCAGAAAAGAGTCTACTCGAAGGACCTACCTTGCTAAGTGGACCAGATTTGAAGCGTGGTGTGGCAGTGATGTCAGGAACGCTCATGTGAAAAGAATATCCCAGATACTTGATTATATTTTGCACCTCCATGACACAGGTCTTGCAATAGCCTCGCTGCGAGTGCATCTAGCAGCAATTAGTGTTTTTCATCAGGGTCAGGATGGGTTTTCTGTATTTGCTCATCCCATCACAAGGAGGTTCCTAAAAGGACTTACAAACCTCAACCCACCACGGCGGCCACCACCACCTTCCTGGGCCTGACACGCCCCCTTTTGAACCCTTAGTTACGATACCATTATAGCTTCTGACCACAAAACTGCTTTTTCTGCTTGCCATTACATCGACCTGCAGCATGAGCGAAATAGCTGCGTTCATGTCGTCACCTCCTTACACGATTTTTACTAAGGAGTCGGTGACTTTGAGATCTCATCCAGCGTTTGTTCCAAAAGTTTGTTCGGATTTCCACATAAACGAGCCGGTTGTTCTTCTCTGTTTCTATCCCAAGCCTCATGCTTCAAGGGAAGACGCAGTGCTGCACACGCTCGATGTGAGGAGGGCATTAGCTTTTTATATCGAAAGAACCCGACACTTTAGGAAATCGGACCATCTAATAGTGTCATTAGCGGATTGAACCAAGGGACAACCCATCACATCCCAACGAATTGCGAGATTAATAGTGTCGTGTATTACAACCTGCTACTCTATACGTAACAAACCTCTTATATGCTCTCCTAAGGCCCATTCTACGAGAGCAGTAGCCATGACTACAGCTTTTCTTAGAGGTGTTCCATTTCGAGACATTTGTCGAGCAGCAACATGGTCCTCTCATTCTACCTTTATGAGGCATTATGCTGTAGTAAACCAATTTACTCTGATTCCTCTGTGGCTATGGCAGTTCTTTCGCATATTCAGAAACATTAATTCCGGAGCGCTCAAATGTTCCAGTACTGCTCCGAAGTCACCTGGAGTGGAGCACCCACGGGGCCACTCAAAGAAGAAGTTACTCACCCTGTGAAGTAACGATTGTTCTTTGAGATGTGCCCCGTGGGTGCTCCACGACCCGCCCTTCCTCCCTGCTTTGGAAAATTTTCATTCTTCTCGTTTCAGGGAGCGGCTGACAGGAATTGAGCAAGCCGGACCGTGCGCAACACTTCAAAGGCGTGAATGCCGCCTCGGGCAGCCATGCATGCGCGGTCCGGCGGACCACGACTCTGATAGCTCTCCGATTCGCGGGGACGGGACCCGACACCTGGAGTGGAGCACCCACGGGGCACATCTCGAAGAACAATCGTTACTTCACAGGGTGAGTAACTTCTTCATTTAGGAAGGAATGATCAATTGCACACTTACAAAATGGGAAATGACTGCCTAGGAAACAGTATTATAAGAATGACCATACTGGGTGAGACCAAAGATCCATTTAGCCCATTAGCCTATCTTCCAACAGTGGTCAATGCCAGATACCCCAGAGGGAGTGAACAGAAACAGATAATCTTCAAGTAATCCCTCTCCTGTCATCCATTTCCAGTCCCCGACAAACAGAGGCTAGGGACATCATTCCTACCCATTCTGGCAAATAAGTGTTGATGGACCTAACTTCCATGAATTTATCTAGTTCTTTTTTGAACCCTGTTAAAGTTCTGGTCTTCATAACATCCTCTGGCAAGGAGTTCCACAGGTTGACTGCACTTTATGAAGAAAAACTTCCTTTTGTTTGTTTGAAACCTGCTACCTATTAATTTCATTTGGTAACTCCTGGTTCTTTTATGGGAACAAGTAAATACCTTTTCCTTATTCACTTTCTCCACACTAGTCATGATTTTATAGACCTCTAACATACCCCCCCCTTAGTCTCTTCTTTTCTAAGATGCCAAGTCCCAGTCTTTTTAATCTCTCTTCAAATGGCACCCATTCCAAACCCCTAATAATTTTTGTTGCTCTTTTCTGAACCTTTCCCAATGCCAATATATGTTTTTGAGATGAGGCAACCACATCTGTATGCAGTAGTCAAGATGTGGGCATAACATGGATCTTCTAACCAGTTATCAATCCATGAGAGGACCTTCCCTCTTATCCTATGACAATTAATTTACTTAAGACCGTTTGATGAGGGACATTGTCAAAGGCTTTTTGGAAATCTAAGTACACTATATCCACTGGATCCCCCCCAGTTCACATGCTTGTTGACCTCCTCAAAGAACTTTAGTAGTTTAGTAAAGCATGAGTTCCCTTTACAGAATCAATGTTGACTTTTCCCAAATAATTACGTTAATCTGTGTCTGACCATTCTATTCTTAATTATACGATTTACCTGGTACGGATGTTAGACTTACTGGTCTGTAATTGCCAGGATCACCTCTAGAGCCCTTTTAAGAAAAGGATTTGGGATTATAGGGGATCACAAGCTAAATAAGAGTCAGAAAGGTAATAGTATTGCAAAGAAAAGAGAAATTAAACTTCACTCTGGGAAGGATTAGCAGAGATAATTCTTCCACTATAGTCAGCACTGATAAGGCCTCATCTGTAGTGCAGCATCCAGTTCTGGGCAACAAACTTTGGGAAAAATATGGACAAATTGGAAAATGTCCAGAGGAGAGAGAGAGAAATGATTGAAGGGCTAGAGAACATGACCTATGAGGGAAGATTGGAAAAAAATCAGGTTGTTTTATCTGGAGAAGGGAAGATTATCTGGAGGACAGGAACCATGATAAATCTTCACCTATGTCAAAGGTGGTTATAAAGGGGAGCGTGATAAATTCTTCTGCTTAACTGCTAATGACAGGACAAGAAGTAATGGATTTAAATTACAGCAGGGGAGATCAGGAAAACTTTCCTAACTAGAAAGTTAGTTAATCACTTTAACAAATTACTTATTAGGGTTTGTCTGCACCAGCATTTCCCATTTTATTTGGCCATGGAACCCTTTTAAACTTGAAAGAATTTTGCAGAACTCCTAATAACAGTCTTATATATGGTATATAACGTGATAGCATCAGTGATTGACTACGCGTGTGTGCAGCACTAAGTAGCTATCATCATCCCCACTCTCTGGTTAAGCTGGCATTACACAGGGACACTTATAGTGGTAAACATAAATGAAAATTGTTTTCAGTAAAATTAATACATTCTTAAATATTAATTATTATTTGTTAATAATGGCGGAACACCATTTGGGAAACACTGGTCTATGCTGTCAAGTTTAGTCAACAAAACGTATGTTGATACCCAAAGTCAACAAAAATGGCCAAAGAGTGTTCACACTTGCTCCCTTTGTCAATGGATCACATCCACACACTGGGAGCACCATCATTGATGGTGTGAGTAATGCATTGGGGGTATGTATCTCATAATGCTGTGTTGTGGGAAAGCTGAACTGATATTTTCATGTTTTGGGATTCCCTCAGCCTCAGCTGCTGGGAGTGGCATTGTAAGTAGCTCTGATTGCTGAGGAATGTCAAAGCAGCCTCTTCCCCATTCCCTGCAGCAGTGGTCTGCCTACTGCTGTCATACAGGACAGAACAGGACCAATCTAATGATTTGCTCTTTGTTTGTTCCCCAAATGGAGCAGCTCACTCAGCTGTCAGATACTTCCTGGAGCTTTGAAAGGGATAGGGTGCATGCCTGCGGGACAGCAGAGATCAAAACACTGAGCATAGCCATCAGGACAGGCTTTGTGGGATTGACGGAAGCCAATTCTGTGGATAAGCAAACAGCAGTGTCTACACTGGCTCTTTGTTGACAATAAAGGGAGGGGGAAAAGAGAGGAGTTTTTTGTCCTCCAAACCGGGCATTTTTCCAGACAAGAATTGCATTGATTGTGTACAGTCTCACTGTTTTGTTGCCAAAAGTCAGTTTTTGGTGACAAAACTTTGTAGTATAGAAAAGGCCCGAAGGAGGTTGTAGAATTTCTGTGACTAAAGTTTTTAAAGAACATGTTAGACAAACACTTGTCAGGATAGTCTAGAATAATTCTTAGCTCTGCTTTAATGGAGGACACTGCACTTAGATGACCTATTTGGATTTCTTCCAGTCTTAAGATTCTATTATCCTCTGATTCATTCTCCATGGGCTGTTAAGCTTGCACCTTGTACCAGTGCTAAACTAAACTCATTAGTGATTAAAGGATGGGGAAAGTGTTAGGGTTCAGAGAAAAGCCCCTTATTTTTTATGTCTTTTTATTTTGTCTTCTTCAAGGGGTCAGTGCTGTTGGACCTTGTGATGGCGAGGGAGAAAGTGAGGCGGACACAGCTGCAGTCACTATCCCAGAGGAAATAGAGGTGGATCTGGTAGGTCAGGAGGCCTAAATGTACTTTGAGCCATTGTGTCATCCATGTGGTTTTGGACAGCTGTATGGGTTTGACATTTTTGGTCCATAATATCATGAAAGAATGATGCAGCCTCCATGACAGGGCTGGGGTGAGAAAGAAAGACAGCAGACAACCTAGTTCCATCTCTCTGGAACACCTCTTCCCAGTGCATTGGCAGCCAGATGTGACTCAGCCAGCTGGTAGAACAGAATGTTGATTAGTTCACAGGGATACAGTGTAGAACCGGCTTGTTAGCACGGGAACTAGAAATAGTAGGTACAATCCATCTACGGGAGAGGGGGGACGCTAGAGCCATGGTCCTGGGCTCCCTCCCTGTATCCTAAGTCAGCAGAGACTAACTCTCACACTCAGCAACCAGTCCCCACCTTGCAGGCAGCCCCACCTCCTCCTTTGTCCAGCTTCCCAACTTGTTTATACCCCCCTCCCAAGCTCATGATACAGTGAGCCTGGGCTATTGTGAACATGCTGGCCTGGGCAACCTGGGGCAGCTTCCCCTCAGTGAGAGTCACACTCAAAATTCCCATTCTCCTCTGGGCACTAGTGCAGTGACCAGGGAAACTGAGGCACACATACACCATTACTACAGAAGAGTACAAGACAGTAGAAATCACATGCAATATAATGAAATGACAGAAAGAATACAATCCCCACTTCATCACACTGCCACATGCCCCTTTGGGGCATGAATTTCAGCAGTGAGCACTGTGTTGCATTTCATACTGCAAAGCTCCTACAGATTCGATGGCATCATAAGTAATTCTGATGATGATTACTGGCAATGAACATTAATTCATCATACCTCTCAGATCAGTCACACAGCATGGATTGGATGCCTTTTCTGAGCTGTATTCTAGGTCTAACCTGCCATCAGGCATCTCAGAGTCCTGATTCTGTATGGCACAGAATACTTTTGTCACATTAATGCAGGTAACATTTGACTCTAAACTTTCATGCCAGACATTCTCTTAATTTGATCCTAATTTCCTAAGTTGTTTTTAGATGCCCCGGGAATGAAAAATGGAGACAGGACAAACTGTTTGTTCTTAAAAAAAACAAAAAAACCCCCCCAAAACCCAATAACCTTCCAAGCCAAACAACAGCTCCTACCCTGCTCAGAATTTGCTTTTTCATTCCTTATCATTTTGGCTCTGTATTATCTTACCTTCTCCTCCCCAGCAGGGGTCAGGTTGCATAATAGCCTAGCCCAGAAGGCTATGGAAGCTTTGATTGTCTTTCAACTACATTTACAAATTAGCTTCCCCTCAGAGGCATAGCGAAGGGGCGGCGGGAGGGGCAATTGCCACTGGGCGCCACGCTTGGGGGGTACCGGGTTGGGGTGAGAGTGAGCGCATGCTGCACAGGCTTACCTGACGCTCATGGGCGGCGAGTTATATGGACTTGTGGTGCCCATGCTCCAGCAATATTCAGAGCCGGGGGCCCTGCTCCAGCAATATTTGGAGCTGAGTCTCTTCCCCTGGCCCTGTCTGGAGTGGGCCCAGGCCCCCACCTTCCGGTCCCCCTGTGCATCCCTCCCCCGGCCCTGGACTGTCCCTGCTGTGTCCAGCGTTCAGTCGGCTCCCCCTTGCCGGCACGAGCTACCAGCTGCTGCTGCTGCAATGCGTGGCGTTTCCAGGTGACTGGGGAGATGCCCGGGTGTGACATGATGTCATGGCCCCAGACTTTAAAACAGCTCGGCGTGGCATTGTGGCATGCGGCCTGAGTCCTGGTTCGGAGTCTGGGGACTTCTGGGGCCTGAGCACAGATTCCGGCCCTGGAAAGTGGAAGGCAGAAGGTATGGCAGGGCAGGGAAGGGGGAAAACTAGGGAGAAGGGGTGGGAGAGGAAGGGGCTTGTGTGGAGGGGTATGGGCAGAGGGTGGGAGAGGAAGGGGCTTGTGCGGAGGGGGTGGAAGAGGAAGGGGTTTGGGGACAGCCTGAAGGAGAGACAAATACCAGGGGGCCAAGTGGAGACAATGAGGAAAAGGGCAGGAGGGGAGGTGTCAGTGGGAGGGGGACAGGGTGATGCTGGGAGAGGAGAGGGTAAGGGCATTGGGATCTAGAGGGGGGAGGGGGAGGTGCTGGAAGAAGGCTTGAAAGAAGGGGTGGGCATGAGAAAGGTGGGGATGGAGCAAGTCATGTGTGAGGGCACAGGGGCATGAGGGGAATGGGGGCAGAGAGTGGTGAGGGGGTGGTCATTCAGGAAAAGAGGGCAAAGGAGGCAGGGGCAGTGAGGGAAGGGGGAGGCACCAGGAGGTGGAGGGCTAAGGGAAGGTGCAGGTGCCAGGGGATTCTGGGGGTGAAGCAGAAGGGCAGACACCTGCAGGGGAGGGACCAGCACCAGAGGAGAGAGGCAGGGAAGGTGTGTAGAGGAAGGGATTAGAAGAAGGGATGAGGAGGGGTAGCTCACATGATCAGAGTGGGGCTACTGGAGGAGTGGGCACAAGGGGGAGAGAAGGGCTGGTGGAGGGGGCCAGGTCACAGGAGGGCTGAGAGCAGTGAGAAAGGCAGGAGTCAGGACAGCAGAGAAGGGTGAGGAGTTGGGGGGCAGCAGGCACCAGGGGAGATGATGGAGCAAGGGGAGGAGACATGGCAGCAGAGAGAAAAGGTAAAGGTCTATAAAATATTTATTAATAAATATTGGCAGTGGCACATCCAAACAAGCCCCATGAACTCAGTACTGGTGCACAACACAAAATTCATTCTGCTCATGGGAGGAAACTCTTAGAGGGGTGAGGAGTTGGGGGGCAGCAGGCACCAGGGGAGATGATGGAGCAAGGGGAGGAGACATGGCAGCAGAGAGAAAAGGTAAAGGTCTATAAAATATTTATTAATAAATATTGGCAGTGGCACATCCAAACAAGCCCCATGAACTCAGTACTGGTGCACAACACAAAATTCATTCTGCTCATGGGAGGAAACTCTTAGAGTTCCCCTCAGCTGTGTACCAGGTTCGGGGCCATGCCACATGGCGGTGGGTGGGGGGTGTGACGGACCGGGCCGTGTCTGGGCACAGCTGAAGGCGTCCGCTCAGGGCAAATTGCTCAACTTTGGGGCTCCTTATAGTCCCCAGACTGGTGACCTCTCCAAATAGGCCCTAAACCAGTCCCACAGAGCGCTTCAGCTGCCTGCCTGAAGCCTCACGAGCAAAACCCCTCCGACACAGATGGCCCCAGGCCTCATACACCGGTGGGGGGTCCTAGCACCCAATCCCACCTACCCCGAACAAGTTCTGTCCGGTTCCAAGAAACCAGCCACAGATCCCTGGTCAATTTACCCTCTAGATCTTACCCACAAATCACGCTGAGCCAATCCTTTAGGATCTAACATCTAAAGGTTTATTATTACAATAAAGAAAAGCTTGAGAGTAAGGTTGTTAAAGGATAGTACGTTACATGCATCGAATCTCCCAGTTCTCGATGCAGGCTCTAGCAGAGATGTTATAGCTGCTGGCTCAAAAGTCTTTGTTGCGCATCCTAGGATCAGGATGGGTCCACAGTTCTTCCTGGCTCTTCGATCCCTGCACTGCTGCCTCTGGGATGAAGTGCTTAGTTGAGGACCAAGATGGAGTCGACCACATGGCCTATTTATCCCTCCTTCCTGTTCTCTTCTTGGCTACAGCAGGTCACCTGGCCCACGCCCTGTGTTCCCTGCTGGCAGCCCTCAGGTGTCAGCCCTGATTCTTTAGGTGTGTCCTTGGCCCATTGAGTGCCATTGTCTCACAGGGCCTCGCTAATTAGCATGTCCATAGGCCGGGCTCTGCCCAATGCTCAACCAAATGCAGAGAAATATTCAGTATCCACACAGATTACAGATTCCTAACTACACACACAGACATTATACAATCACATGACTAGTGTACATAGGATTAGCAGACAGTAAGCTTCTATTCAACCCCCCACATGGCCCCCTTTTATACCATTTTTGGGGCCAACACCCTCACCTATGGGTGCAGCAGTGATCTGGCTGCTTCCCTCAAATTCAGTAACGTGACAGGGGGCACAAATTTTTCATTTGCCCTCGGACGCATAACACCCTCGCTACGCCTCTGCTTCCCCTATACATTCTTGAGGATTCTTGGGGACAGTGATTTGGTAACAGGATTTGTAATGAGATCAGGAAGCTTTCACTTTTTAGTATCCAATCCCAGTGCAATGTGGGTTGCTGCAGAGCAGAATCCACTCCCATTTGAGGACATACACAGGCCCCTGTGTGAAGAGTCTGTATGTTTCAGTCCAGTTCTGAAAGAAGCAGGCGTTGCCTCACAGAAATTTGAGATCTGCCCATGGATGGATTCTCCCAATTCCAGCACCCTGAAGGTCTCTCAAGAGCAGATTGGTGGGTGGTGTGCATAGGGCTTATATTGCTCTTTTTGTTGCACACACAGAACACTGCACTCTCCAGAGCTGTCATGTGTCACCAGTGAAATAATTCACCTCACACCTCCTCCTACCCACATCCTCTTTCTGCATCTCTCCTTGGTTTTGTTCTGTCCTTTTTCCCCAGAAACCCTGCATCCAAAGCCGGGTGGTCCTGAGTGGCCTAAGGGATGACATGTGGACAGAAGAGCATGCTGCATCCCTGGATCTCTTTTTGAAGGATGTCAGTAAGCAATTGCTCGTTGTCTACATAGATGAGTTTGCTGGATTGAAGGTTGAACATAACATGCCATATCAGGTTTGTTTGGCACTCTGCTGCTTAGGTCCTATGAGAGTTCCCACCCCAGGGGCTGTAGTCATACCAGTTTGTGTTGTGATCCTATTGGCTCTTGCCAGGTTTGGGAGTAACTTCCCTGAGAGTTATTGCTGATCCTAATGGCCCACCACAGTGCATGAGAGTGAGGGGACACTGGTGGTTCAGCATGCTGCCTTCTAGGGATGTTAAAGGTTAACAGGCCTTGCTGGCATGCTTACCAGCTAACTGGTTAACTCAAATCTCTCTCCATCTCTGGCCCACAGCGGGCCTGAAGCAGCCCCTGCCACCTGCAGCTATGGCAGTGCTGAGGCAACCAGAAGGAGCAGCTGGGGAAGGAGTAGCTTCCACTACTGCTGACAGGGCCAGAGCAGCCCCCACTGCATGTGGCTGTAGTTAGCAGGGGTGAGGTGGGGGTAGGGGGGCTGGAACACTGCCCTCAGCTGGTGGTTAATCAATTAAACACATTGATTAACCGGTTAAATATTCTGGGCAGTTTTTACATCCCTAGTGCCTTCAATGGCATTCTCATCACATTCATAAAATGAAGCACGCGCATAAGTGTTTGCAAACTCTGGGCCTTAGTTTCTTTAAAAGCCTTTCGGGAAGGATTTTGCCTAAAGCTTTTTGAAATGCTAAGTAAATGATGCCAGCCAGCTCTCCTTTATTTGCTCTTTAGCTGAGATGCTTAGGGAATTTGAACAGGTAAGAGAGGTGCAGAATTCCTTTACAGAAGCCAGGCTAACTTATCTGTGCCATATCTTGTTCATGACTGTAACTTCCTTACTCTAATTATGTTCCAAACCTATGGGGGCATTGCTATAACTCTGTACTGGGCTTGTAGACAAGACACATGCCTCATAGATACAGTGAGGTGGCAAAGCCTGCTGTTAATTACCTCACCCTGTCATTGGCTGCCTCCTCCAGGAGCAGAAACAGCTCACTTACTTCATTCGCCATGAGAATGCAGAGATCACAGCAGAGAATTTCCAGAAGACGGTGCAATTTGGCACTGTTCGGAGACCCTACATTGATTCCCTGATGCGAATTCTCAATAGTGTCTTCCTGCCTCGCCTCTTCCACAACACCACTTGGCCGGAGAGCATCAAGAATGAATTCTTCTTGGAAATATACCACTTCATGACCTCTCTTACAGGTAGAGTGGTGCCTCTACCATTTAGCTGTCTTGTAGTGCTGCCCTCCTCAGGTTCCCTCCACCCTGATATTGGTCCCTGGCCTGTGTTTTGTTACACACTTGTTGCCTTGCTCTGTGCTCTATTGTTGGAGCTGTCTCGGACCCAGCATAAGAGAGAGATTAAGTGGGTGAAGTAATAACTTTTGTTGAACCAACTTCTGTTGGGGAAAGAAACTAGCTTTAGAGATACTACCTCACCTGCCTTGTCCATTGATAGAGGGCCAGAATGGAACTGGTCCTTAGTAGCAAAAAGTTTTGCGTCTCATTCGTTGACTCAGTTTGAGTCGGTCAGTGTTCACTGATCAGGGTGAGTCTCCTTAAAGGTGTGCCATTATGTGCCATTCTCTGACTCCTCTGAGCAAATATAATCAGAGAAAAGAGATGTCTGTTCCACAATCCACCCCCCAAACCAGCTGCAGGAGAGAGGACCCAGAGAGAGGGATTGGCTGTGTACCAGCAGGTCTGTCTTTCTCCCTTCTCCAGATACACGTTCCAAAATGAAGGGCCGCACGGTTCTCTACATCCCGATTGAAGCCCTGACGATGAAGCCCGAAGTGGTGGTAAAAGACAAAGCGCTCGTACAGAGACTGGAAAGTGAGTAGCTCTGCAGCCCAGCTCTCTCGGGATCACAGTGCTGCACAGCCTAGGAGAGAGGCACAGTAACAAGATCAGTGTAATGGGAAGGGGGCTGGTTGGTGGGAATAAACTCAACAGAGGAGGTGGTGAGAATAGCAGTGAATAGAGTCTAAGTGAATTAACCTCCAGCAGCATATGAGCTGCATCCATCATTCCCAATCACTTGGAGGCTTGTCGGGGTCTGAAGAACACGTAGGATCTTTTGGTACTGTTATTGCTTTCACTTAGATATCCCTCAAGGAGCAGAAAGACACCAGGCAGTAAAAATTTTAAGCAGAGGTGAGGTCAGCTGGGAGGTTCAGTGATGGGACTCAGCATCCTCAGAACCTCCCCTAGGCACTATGCATGTAAAAGTATAAAAAGTATAAACCTGGTCTTATTGGTTACTATTAATAGTTACATGTAGGCTCCTGCCACGCTCCTGGTTGAGCGTGCTGCTGACTGTGTATCAGAGGTAGTAGTGCAGGGGTGACAGCCGGCTCCTCTGGAGAGGGGTGGCAGACTGGAGCTGGTACTCGTCAGGAGCTGGCTTAAAAGTTGGCTTCTGATGAACACTGGAGCCGAGGGAGCCAGCTGCCACCCTGCACTGCAGGGGTATGTTTATCGAAAAAGAGATGTAGTTTAAAGGGATGTAAATTAGACGTATCAAAATTGTAAATGAAGCTGGGATTTGAATTTCTCATGTTTCATTTGCATAATGGTAGCTGCGGCTTTTTTTTAAAAAAGCCGCTTTTCGAAAAAACAACAACCAAAAAAAAAACCGCGGTCAAGACAGGGATCCTTCAACAGAAATGCCCCTTTTCAAAAGATCCTGTAAGCCACGGCCGCCGTTATACAAATGAAGTGCGGGAAATTCAAATCACCCAGGAGACGGCCTTCAGATGCCTTTGATTGCAACAACTTCCATGTTCCAGGTCCTTGCAGGCCTTGCTCTTTTTGCACAGGTTAGCAGTAGGCAAACACCAACTACTAAATTCTCGGAACGTCCCTCTGAAGTGAAAAACACCCGTTCCACTGAATGCCCTGATTTGCTACTCTGAAAGGCATCACTCACACCAGGTTGTTAGATCCAACTAAGGATCTCCAATCTGATTGTTTTACGCCCTAAGTATCCCCAACTATATATAATGCCTGGTTCACTGGGTTTTAAAAAGTGCGCCCTTTGCCTTTGGCATCCGCTCCCAGGGTTTTCTTGAAAACGCTTTCGGTGGTAGCAGCACATCTGCGCCACAGAGACATCATATTTCCTTACTTGGACGACTGTCTCATAAAGGGCAGATCATGACAGGAGACGTCCCACAGTCATGTTATTCAGACAGACCTTCGACTCCCTGAGCAGAAGACCCCAGTGAAGCCAACTCAAACCATAAACTTCATAGGCGCCAGACTCGATTCTGTCTTGGCACAGGCGTATTTACCGATAGAACGATTCCATGCAATACAAGATTTGGTAACCATCCTCATACACGCCCCTACGGTGTCGATACTCACTTGTCTGCAACTGATGGGACACATGGCCATTACCCCATTCATGGTGCATCATGCACGACTATACTTCCGTTGCCTTCAACATTGGCTGGCTTTAGTATACATTCCCACAAGGCATAGCATTCAGAAGTCAGTAGCTCCTTCTATGTCTGCAGCTCCCTGTCATTGTGGACCAACCCGCATAATCTCATGGCAGGTGTCCCGTTCCATCGTCCTCAACCTACCAGTCAGGTAACAGATGCCTCCCTTACTGACTGGGGCGCACATATGGACGGCATGAAGGTCCAGGGCAGGTGGTCAGCTTCAGAAGGGGCTTTTCACATAAACCTTCTTGAGCTCAGAGCTGTCTTTCATGCGTGCAGACATTTCCATGTCTACATAGCTGAAACAACCATGAGAATATTGACTGACGATATCACAACAATGTATTACATTAATTGGCAGGGAGGAGCACGTTCACGTTCCCTGTGTGCAGAAGCAATCTGATTGTGGAATTGGTGCATTCGAAATGACATCACCTTAATAGCATCCTACTTACCTGGCACCAAAAATGCTATTGTGGACTCTCAATCACGAGTGAGAAATATGTGCAGACATCCTTTGATGCATTTTCTGCTTGTGGGGAACTCCTCAAATAGATTTATTCGCCGCCGGCGACAACACAAAGTGCTGGCACTTTTGCTCCAGGACGGTCATTGGAAAGGGACTGCTAGGAGATACGTTCCTAATCAGCTGGAAGATGTCGCTGCTTTAAGCATTTCCCCTGACTGTGCTCATACCCAGAGTACTAGAGAAAATCAGTATGGACTCAGCAGGGGTAATCCTCATAGCTCTGGCATGGGCGAGACAACCGTGGTACCCGTTCCTCCGCCTAATGCCTCTGCAGCTACCTTACCCTCTTCCTCCCCTGCCGGACCTTCTTTCTCAGAATCACGGCTCTCTCCTCCATCACAGGCCAGAGACTCTGCACTTAATGGCCTGGCTCCTGACTGGTTCAAGGCAGCTGAGCATCTCTGCTCAGAACAGGTACAAGCTGTCTTAGTGCATAGTAGAAGGAAGTCTACTCAAATAACTTACCTTGAGAAATGGCGAAGGTTTGTGCTCTGGTACTCTGACAATTGGATCGACCCCACTACATCGCTCCTCCATCAGATCCTCGATTACGTCCTTCACCTTTAACGAACAGGACTTTCTATCTCGTCGCTGAAAGTACATTTGGCAGCTATCCGTGCTTTTCATCATCCCATAGAAGGGGTATTGATATTTGCTCACCCAATCACTAAAAGATTCATAAAAGGTCTGACGAACCTTAATTCCCTATGTAGACAACCACCCCCCTCCTGGAACCTGGACTTAGTATTGGATACTCTAATGTATCCTCCATTTGAACAGTTAGTCACGACATCTCTCCAAATGCTTACAATGAAATTGGTTTTTCTCTTGGCAATCACATCTGCACGCAGAGTCAGTGAGTTGGCTGCTCTAATGGCAACACCATCATTCACATCGTTTACCAAAGATTCAGTCATATTGCGTCTACCCCTTGTTTTTATTCCCAAAGTTTGTTCTGATTTTCATATCAATGAACCCATAGTGTTACCTTCTTTTTATCCGAAACCTCACTCTTCTCTACAACGAGCTCTGCTCCATACACTTGACATACGCCGAGCACTTTCCTTTTACATTGACAGAACCTGAGAATGGCATAGAAGGGATTGGCTGATAGTATCAATTGCAGAACGATCCAAAGGCAACACCTTATCCAACCAACGTATTGCAAGGCTTATAGTGACATGCATTATCACCTGCTATGCCATTCTCAATAAACCTCTCCAATCCCAACCAAAAGTCCACTCTACGAGAGCAGTAGCTACTTCTACAACCTTCATGCGAGGAGTCCCATTGAGTGATATTTGTCAAGCGGCTACCTGGTCATCTAATGCCACATTCATAGACCATTATGCAGTCATACAACATTTGGCCACTGATTCCACTGTCGCTTCAGCAGTATTTTTAATTACTGATAAACCTTAACTCCAGAGTGCATTCTGAGTACTGCTGTATAGTCGACTACAGTGGAACACCCATGGAGACCACTCAAAGAATAAGTTATTCACCTTCGTGAAGTAACAATGGTTCTTAGAGATGTGTCCTTGTGGTTGCTCCTCGTCCCACCTCCTCCCCGCTCCGGAGCTTTGTCTCTTTCTCACTACAGATAACCTAGCAGTGGGAGGAGCTGGTGGGAGCTGAACCACGCATGACGATCAAAGGGCATGAACAGCACGAGAAGCTGACCACGCATGCGTGGTCCGTCTGATACGGCTACTGAAAATCTCTGACCTGCAGCACTGGGACGAGCTCGACACCTGCAGTGGAGCACCCACAGGGATAAATCCTGAAGAAACATTGTTACGGCACAAAAGTGAGTAACTTCTCCATCCTCTTGGGAACCTCCTTTCTGGAAGTTGAAGGCTGCTATCAACCCCCCTCCCCCACTCTTCTCTTCAGCAGACTAAACAAACCCAAATCCCTCAGTCTCTCCTCATAGGTCATGTGCTGTAGCCCCCTAATCATTTTGGTCACCCTCCGCTGGACCCTCTCTACATCCTTTCTATAGTGGGGGGCCCAGAACTGGACACAGTACTCCAGATGTAGCCTCACCAGAGTTGAATAAAGTGGAATAATCACTTCTCTAAGGGTATGTCTACACTACCCTCCTAGTTCGAACTAGGAGGGTAGTGTAGACATACCCTTAGAGAAGTGATTATTCCACTTTATTCAACTCTGGTGAGGCTACATCTGGAGTACTGTGTCCAGTTCTGGGCCCCCCACTATAGAAAGGATGTAGAGAGGGTCCAGCGGAGGGTGACCAAAATGATTAGGGGGCTACAGCACATGACCTATGAGAAGAGACTGAGGGATTTGGGTTTGTTTAGTCTGCTGAAGAGAAGAGTGGGGGAGGGGGGTTGATAGCAGCCTTCAACTTCCAGAAAGGAGGTTCCCAAGAGGATGGAGAAGTTACTCACTTTTGTGCCGTAACAATGTTTCTTCAGGATTTATCCCTGTGGGTGCTCCACTGCAGGTGTCGAGCTCGTCCCAGTGCTGCAGGTCAGAGATTTTCAGTAGCCGTATCAGACGGACCACGCATGCGTGGTCAGCTTCTCGTGCTGTTCATGCCCTTTGATCGTCATGCGTGGTTCAGCTCCCACCAGCTCCTCCCAGGGTAGTGTAGACATACCCTAAATCTGCTGGCTATGCTCCTCCTAATGCAACCTAATATGCTATTAGCCTTCTTGGCTATAAGAGAACATTGTTGACTCATATCCAGCTTCTCATCCACTGTAATCCCCAGGTCCTTTTCTGCAGAACTGCTGCTTAGCCAGTCGGTCCGCAGCCTGTAAGAGTTCTTGGGTTTTTTCCATCCCAAGGACTCTACACATGTCTTTGTTGAACCTCATCAGATTTCTTTT